CAAGCATAACAATCATAATCATAATCGTAGTTGTGCTACCACCACCACTACTACTACCACCACTACTACTACTGCTACTACTACTACTACTACTACAACTACTACAACTACAACTACTACAACTACAACTACGACTACTACTACTACTACTACTACTACAACTACTACTACTACTACTACTACCATTACCGCCACAACTGCTACTAACTATCATTGTCATCACCATCGTGGCGAGTCTGGCTTTTCCCACACCCAAAACCTAAACCTTAAACACAAACCTGATTTGGTTCCATTTACCAAGGTCATTGGCATGGTATTGGCGGCGGGCAGCGGCATGCAGTTGGTCGGACCAGCTATTGGAGGTGTAGGGTTTCAGGGTTGAGGGCTTAGGGTTCAGGGTCAAGAAGACATACAAAAAACACCAGAAAGCACCTTCTTTTTCCTCGACCTGTGCAGAGCGAAGCCATGCGGTCACGAGAATTGAGATGTGGATTGTGCTGCTACGCCCTGTCCAGGCTGGACCTACAACATTGTGCCGAGCTTTCCTGCTGTGATCCTTGTCCAACAGCGCAAAGACTGATTCCCTTCTCCCGAACCCGAACCCCCAAATGCGCAAAATCGCGAAGCACATCGAAGCCTAAAAATGTTCCTTTGTAGTCCCTACATGATTATCGTATAGCAACTACTTTCTAATTCTGGACCCTTAGAGCACACCGGAGAAATGAGGATCCTAAGCATGATTGACTGTCCCCAAACCCTAAACTTGGCCCTAAACCCCAAACCCTAAACCCTTTACCCTGAACCCCTAAACCCTACACCCCTAAACCCTATAAACCCCAAACCCTAAACAAGGATCCCAAGCATGATTGGCTGCATTTTGGCCGTGGCTCTCTTCGCCTTCTTCCTAAGAATCAGGCATGACATCCGAAGTCCGCAGAAGGCCCCCGGTTTAGGGTTGAGTGTTTAGGAATGTAGGGCTTAGGGTTTAGGGTAATTGCTTAGGGCACCTGTCCATGAGCCTCGCTTAGCTTTGCGTTTCACAGGTCTTAGCTGAGCTTCTGCTGCTACGCCAGTGCCACTGCTGCTGCTTCATGAGACCAAGTGTGGCGTCGTCTTTTGCTACTTGCTACTGCGGCTGTTTTCCGTGTAGTTGCTGTTGCAATGCTATCTCTTTCTAAAGCACGCTATTGCAAGGTGGAGTCACCAACTAGCAGGGCCGTGCGCGTGCAATTTGACCTTTCAAGGGCTCATTAGGGTTCAAGGTTTAGGGTTTATGGCTAGCAAGTCTAGTTCTCAACCTTAGCCAGGTCTCAGGCCTGAATCCCGTAAATCCTAAATCCTAAACCCTGAACCCTAAACCCTAAACCTGAACCCTCAGTCCTTGACAGGCGGCTGAGCCCGGGATGGATGCCCAACCAGGAACCCCTTCGAAACCCTCCGCCTCCGCACACAAATCTGTTGGATCCCTTCTACGTACCTGGCCGGTACCTGTAGTCCCAGGCTCTGTTCAGTCGAGTTTTCATGCTGTTGGTCACTTCTCTTCTTACGGAAGAATACGAATGGCATAGGAATCAATCCTCCAAACGAAGCATATAATACCTAAACCCTAAAGCCGAATCCCTAAACCCCAAGGTCATCTTCATGCGGCTTTGGAATGGTTTTGCCACTTTCTCCATCTTCGAAGCAGCGCCCTTGTGGCTCGTTTCTGACCGAAATGTCGGTGGCCTTGGCATGACTGAGAAGGAGGTTGGATCGTTACTCTCCCGGTCCGGGCTTTGGAATTTATTTTACTTTTCCTTTCTCATGCCCCGTTTCGCCAAAGCTTTGGGTGAACGTTGGGTCTCGGCCATTTTCTGTGTGGTTGGCGCCGCAGCGGCGACGATCTTGCCCTTCTGCACCTCACCTCTTATGGCCAACGTTGTCCACATGCTGGCAGCCTCAGCGACGATGTCGCAGGCTGCCATGAATATAGCGTTCACCAACAACGCAGCTGGTCAGGAAGGCCGCGCCGTGGTGACGGGCGTTGCGGTGACTGTCGAGACCATCGGCAAGGTGCCGCGGGTGGCATGATATATGTAGGAACATGATAGATGCCACATCGGATGCATGTAGTACATGTAGACGGTGAGCATGGTCTTGCAGGTTCTGAGTGGCCTGCATTTCTTCGACTTAGCTTACATGATTGTTTCATGATGGTTTGTCAGTGGCTAAATCTGCTGTTTTGATATCTGTATGATACCTTGTCGTAGGACTGAAACATGGAGACATGTGTACACCATTGGTAAAGTCAAGAATAGTACAGCATATTGTGACCTGCACACGTGCATGCATAGACGCATACACCCAAAAACCCTAAACCCTAAACTCTAAACCCCTAAACCCAAACTCTATAAACCCTGCACCCCGAAGCCATTAAACTCTTTTGTGCCAGGCTCTTGGGCCCATCGTCACCTCCACGATGTTTGCTTGGTGTGTTCGGACGTGGGGTCTGCAAGGCCATGGCGCAGTATTCTTCGTCTTGGCACCCGGGTTGTGGTTAATCTGTTTTTTTTCTGGAACTCTTGGCCAGTTTGGTGCAGATTATGGTTAAGGTTTAGAGCTTAGGTTCTGGTGCTAAGTGCAGATATTCTGCTTTTTTTAATCGAGACTGCTGTTGTGTGGTCGGCCAAGAGTCGCTGTGAACGGTTACGGTGTAAGTGGCACCGATGTTTGGCAAGTCTCTTCACGCTAGCAGCACACTGCTAGAATGTGGGGCATTAATAATTAGAATAATGAGGGTTTTGAGATACATTATGCTATACTTGTAATAAGGAGCCCCCAAGATAGTATAGGTAATGATTAAGGCCCCTATATTACTCTGTGAACCCGAAAGCCGTGAACCTTGCAAGGCATGCCTTTCTGTGGTGCAGCTGATCTGCACTACATTTTTGCCAGCGTACGTGGAGTCCCACTCTTTGCGGCGTCGGGGGCACGAGCCCATTGCTGCGGAAGAGCCACAGAAGGCGGATGCAACCAACGGGGCATGGTGTAGAGTAGAGTTTTCTTGCAGAACGCAATCCTTACAGCTGGTACACGTATCTGTGAGACCACCAGCCCCTCTCTTCATAAAATCTTTTACGATGCTGGATGACGAGCTCCGCACTTCCTCTCACAGGAAGCTCCAGCCACTTTTCCCACAAAGCCTAAACCCTAAACGTCCCACAGGAAGTTCCAGCCACTGTCCTGGGACTGGAGGAGACGACTCCAGTGATGCATCGTGCACACAGCGGCTGAAGGGAAGCTTCTTGGCTGATACCCGTCTTCGGTCTTAGGCTTCTGGATTTAGGGTTAAGGGCTTTGGGTCCAGGATTTAGGGTTTCGGACTTTAGGGTTTCGGACTTTAGGGTTTTGGATTTAGGGTCCAGGGTCTTGGATTTAGGGCTTCGGGTCTGCCCCAAATCACGAGCAGCTCAAGATACTACTGCACCTTTCTTGCCTGCATGTTTTCCAATACTACGAGCGACCTTCATATCTTTACTCCTGTCGTGCTTCTGCTATGTATTTTTTCTATTTTTGTATTTTTTATGCTCGCCATAAACCCCAAGAAGATGCACCCAAGGTTTCACAAGAGCAGAGTGGAGCCCATGGAGATGCTGAGGTCAGAAGAGTTAGCGGAGTCACTACTCAGTCCTCAGAGAAACATCCCCGAGGCAACCAGGGCGGACCAAAGTTACATATGTGTATATATATATATGTATATATGTATATATGTATATATACATATACATATATATATACACACATGTTTTCCTATTACATATATATATATATATCATATGTGCTATGCATTTATCTATCTATCTATCTATCTATCTATCTATACATACATATATCTATCTGTCTGTCTATCTATCCATCTATCTATCTATCTATCTGTATATATATATACAGAGAGAGAGAGAGAGATTAGTTATGTATATATATATATTATAGATAGATAGATAGATAGATAGATAGATAGACAGACAGACAGACAGAGAGATAGATAGATAGATAGATAGGTAGGTAGATAGATAGATAGATAGATAAGTAGTTATATCGATCGATCGATCGATAGATAGATAGATAGATGTTACATGCTTATAATGACGTATTCACCATAGTAGGAGACTGGCATGAGTCCTACCACGGGTGCTGTTTTGCAACAACCGATCGGTCTGAAAGGACGAGCACCAATGGGCTTACCGCAAGACTTGGCAGAACTTCGGCATCGTCATGAAGCGATGGGCTTATCACAGCAAGTGTGGCTTCTCAATACCGTGGGCGGACGACATTCTGAAGGACATGATGGACATGCCCGTGGAGGAGTTGGAGGCCGAAGGATGAGCCCATTGTCACGAGGAAGTGAGTAAGGGCCAGCCTTGTCAAAGTTGAGTCCGAAGGAGCCCAGCTGGGCCGAAGAAGTGCAGAACATCAGCACCTTCTTGCCATGACGATCTTCTGGGGCCCAGCCCTCGCTGAAGCCAAAAAAGCTAAAACCCTGAACCCAGAATCTAGGGGCCGAGACCTTTGAAATATTATGAATGCATGGGGTTCATCATTACAGCTATCCGATATAATGCACCCTCAAACCCTGTTCTCATGCATGACGGAGGACCCTACATTAAATCCGAGGCCCGAGAATCCTAAACGTAGAACATCTATTCTCCACTGTCAGGGATCCGTGGACTGACGCTTGACCTTCAGGGGTGCGGGGCAAAAATACTACTTCAGGGGTTCCTTATTTTGGTTATAGTATAATATACCCCAAAACCCTATTCTAATTTTTTATGGCCCTTATAGTGCCCAGATTCCTCAGCTTGGGAGCCTTTGAGTTTTGGTGGAGGTGTCCTTATAGAAGTATTGCATGGCGATCGTTTGAGCAACTATGCCTGGCACCCTTCTAGAACCCTTGCAGAACCCTTTAAAAGAGCCGGTGGAACCCTGGCAAAGCCATTCAAAACTCATGGAATGCTTCCCAGAGTTTTAATGGCGTCAACCTGGCCCGGACCAGGGAAACCGACCTGGTTTTAGGATTTGGGTAAGGCCCGTAACTTGATGCAGGGCTCAATGGCCTTACTAGGGCTCATCGGGTTCTCAACCCATCATCCATACCATCCGGAGAAGCCGAAACCGCAGAAAGTAGTTGTTGAAAATCCAGACCATAGCCCCTCAACCTAAGGCTCCATGTATCTAGAAAGTGTATACTAGGCCTTGGATGAAAGGGTTTTCTGTATAGGTACTGTGAGGCTTAAGTATATACTATACAGGTTCATGAGAGTTAAGGCAAGGAAACCCCTAAACTCCTTTACCCGAGACCTGAACCCTAAACAGTAAACCCTTGATACGAGGGACTGAATAAGCAGGAGCGGTATTCCTGAGGGTTTCCAAGTAGAGACTCATCGTCAAGCATGCCGCAAGTCCTTATTCTAACTGTCAAGATCGCTATATGACAACCCTATAGTAAACTCCTCTCACAACACCATAACACCCTCCAAGAACCTTCGAAGACACATAATGACGATTGACAAGAGCTCCGTAACAGGTTCGTACAGACATACAGGAACACGTACAAAGCCCCATCATTACGAGCCCTAAACCCTAAACCCCCAAACCCCAAACCCATAAACCCCCAAGCCCGAAATCCTAAAATCGCAAAACCCTAACCCCTAAACCCCAAAACCCATAAACCCCTAATCCCGAAATCCTAAAATCGCATGCCCAGCGGCAGGAGGTCGAGGCGGAGGTCAGCGCAGAGGACCCCTTCGACTGCTTCGCAGAAGGCGAAGATCAGAGGAGCCCACATCTCGCTTGGTTTTTAGGGCTTTAGATTTAGGGCCTTATAGGGTTTAGGATTTAGGGCTTCGGATTTGGGGTTTAGGGTTTAGGGATTTAGGATTTAGGGGTTTAGGGCTTCGGATTTAGGGTTTTGGATTGAGGGGTTTAGGGCTTAGGGTTTAGGGTTGAGGGTTTAGGGTTTAGGGCTTCGGATTTAGGGTTTAGGGTTTAGGGGTTTAGGGTTCAGGGTTTAGGGCTTCGGATTTAGGGTTTTGGGTTGAGGGTTTAGGGCTTAGGATTTAAGGGTTTAGGGCTTCGGGTTTCAGCGTTTCATGCTTTAGGATTTCGGATTCATGGTTTAGGGCTTCGGGTTTTAGGACTTAGGGCCTACAAGCCTACAAGGGTTTAGGGTTTAGGGCTCGGAGGGGCTAGCCGCATTGTTGAAGTGGTTTGGAGCTTCTTTCAGGGCTCCTTAAAGCCTTCTAACTAGAATGGCTTCTACAGATTTTGTTTTATGGTGCTTCTCTAATCCCTAACCCAAGAAACCCTTTACTCTAAACACTACCCTACACCCTAAACCCTCCTAAACCCTAAACCAGGAAGCAAACGTCCCAGGTCTTCCGGCACACAGCGTGCGATGGTACAAGGAAGCCTCACACAACAGTTAGCTCTACAGCAGCTAAACATATGACGTATGGGCCCTCAGCCCCAAAGAATAGGCACAATAACCCAACACCTCTAAAATAAAAGGCTAGTGTTCGACGTACGTTGAGAACTCCTGGGGTCCCGGGAAGCCCGCAACCCCCCCAAACCCCACAGCAGGACCTGGTCAAGGCAGAAGAAGGCCAGACCCCTGCTTAGAGTGTAATATAGTTTGGGGGTAAATTATAGGAAAATTCTAGTAAGGTATTCTAATCATTAAGGCCCCTACATTACCCAGCTTTCCGGCGTAGACGGGCTTGCTTTGGGGTTTAGTCGTGGGCTGTGTGGGTGCATTTAGGCCTTGAGTGGGGGGTGAAGTGGTTCTGACTTGGAGCCAGGTGTTTAAAACATTTTTTTGGGCTTCGAGGCAAGAACTTGCTTGCGGCTTGAGAGATTAAGGTTTGCAAAGGAAGCCCGAGGCCGTTTGTTTAAAACAGTGGCCTTAAGAATCGGAACAGGGCTGAATAGGGCCATGGAATAGATCAAAGCAGACTTGTTTTCTTGACGAACCCTATGGGGTACCTTCCGATTCTCAAGGCCCTTGCATCAAGGGCTAAATTTTCCGATTACGCAAGCTTTTAGTAGAAAGCTAAGGCGGGGATTGCTCTGTGCGGGTCGCCAATCCTACTTCGCTAAATCTAGCAGGGATGTAGTCGTAGCGACCTACATGAGTAGTACTAGTCTCCCAATATAAACAGACTCTAATATACTTACACCACAACCCTTCCAAAGATTCAGTCCCATGTAATACTGTTGATGATATAGATTCTGCATTACCATAAGGACGCTAACCTAAGAATTTGGTAGATTCCTTATTATGGGTAACGCAGGATTTATAGCATCAACCGTAGCCTTCTAAGCACTTCTGCCACCCGAAATCGCGATGCCCCATCTTGAAGATCAGACTTTCAGAGTAGGGAGGGGCTCTTGAGCCCTACGTAAATCAGAAGGTTCGAGTACTTAGTGGTGTGCAGACAGGGATCTCTTGGAGAGTTTGGATTTTATAGGGTTATAGGCTGGGGGTTTCGGGAGCAGGGGTCAGGGTTAGGTAACATCTTCCACTGCCGCTGCCAACTTGAAGAAGAGGGGCCCGCTGCAGCAGACCATCGTAATCTTGGAAAGCTTTCAGCTCGATTTCTCCAGACGGAAAAGTAATAGGGGTGCCTTCTGAACCGGCGGAGTAAAACGGCGCTGTCGGAATGGGGCTAACTCGGCTTCCAGGTTTAATCAGGGATCGCGAGTGAGCAAGATAGCGGAGGATAGAAAATGTATGGGCCAGATATATAAAAGTTTCAAAAGATTCAAAAGAGGGTGTAATGACCAAGGGGTGCTTGAAACCAACTCATTGTCTGATCCTCTAATTATAGGATTCCTGACGACGGGACACCAAGCAAGGATAGTTTCAGAGGGCAAAGACCTCAGAGACTCGAATATCAGCGTTACGGAGCATAAAATCGGACTCTTGTTGCTTGTAAGGTCCCCCCCTAGACAGACCGCGAATTTTCATAATTGCCGCATATCAGGCCTGGTGTTGCACCTACCAAAACGTGGCATGCCACTCTCTCCGCTCTCGTTCTGTCTGGGGCTCGGACAGCGCGAAACCCCAAACCCTAAACCACCCTGAGGTGCTTCAACAAAACAACACCCCAAACCCCAAAGGCCATAAAAATTGTGCCTGGAGCCCGGTGCCAAGGCTCTAGGATGAAGGCTCAACTATGGGGGAGTGCATGGCAGCAGGCCCCACGCCCCTTCAGGTACGATGGTGTTCCAACCTC